AATGAAGCTTCCTGCCCTGCTTCATCCCATCTTTTGATCATCGCTTTGCCAAAGTCAGCTGTGCTGCCTAAACTAATAAGAATTGGTTACTGGTAATAAGAGTTGGGTTGTACTCGAGACTGATATCAAAGCGATTTCCTCTCTGTCTAATTAAGCCCTCTGCAAAGCAAGGAAGCCGTGCTGTGCCATTTGTAGCGCTGCTGATTTTTGGCCCTTTCTGGAGCCTGAATTTGCTTAGCCAGTCACTCTGTGGAACCCCCCCCCCCCCCCCGACACAAACAAAGACGGCTGATTAATTGAGCACTCTCCGTCCTCCCCATCTGCTACACAGAAGCAAAACATGAATGGGGGACATGTCCAAAATAGGTGTATTTTGAGCGCATTCATTTCCTATGGTGAAATGAATGGCGCGCATACATGTTTGCATGTTTTAATTAATGCTGTTGAATTCTGTTTTGTTTTTTTTAACTTCAGCTCTTTGCATGTGATTAACAGGAATATTATAATCACTGTTTGGCGACATTTTCCTGCACTTCAGGAAGCCAAAAACAGCCAAATCGTGCCGCATTTCACGTTCCTATCTTCTGTTGAATGGTTTACTCAGATTGTTCACTAGAGGGTAGACTTGGAATTATAATCGGATTTTTCTAGCAATATTTGTCGTTGAGAGAAGAGGCACTGTGCTGGCAACATGAAAAGTACCGAGGGTTGCCAGGAAGGGTGGCAGTCATTTTGAGTCTGATTTTTAATTTCCTCATAATCTGGCAAGTATTTGTGGTCTTCTTTAGCAAAATAAGTACGTTTCGGAATAACAAGCATGTTACAAAACGCATGCAAATTGGCCTGCTGAGAACAAGTGTCGAGGCAAAACATTTTGCACATTGGCTGTGTTCGTGGAATGCTTCCCCAGTGGCTCTTGAGATGCATGGGTTCCGAGCAAGAAGGGATAGCGAATTAGCATGCCATAAAGCAAGGGAACATCCTCCATTCCCTGAGCTTTTAGTGCCTGAAACTTTATTTCAGAGATGCTCCCGGGGGCCACATCCTGGGATGATGGGCCCCTAAGGCAAAGAGACAGGGCCAGCATTCCAGGGATGTCGGCACATTTCATCTTATGCCTCTTGTTGCTGGTAACTACGCCTTGGAAGAGGCATCTGAACTTTCAGGAAGGCAAAAATCCTGTGCAGAAGTAGCAGACCACCAATGTGGTGATCTGGTGGGGTGGAGGTTCGAAAGCAGTATGGGATATAGAAGCCAGGTGGGCTTCAACTCGTTGGTGGAGAGCTATAGCTCAGTCATAGAATGCATTTTGGATTTTCTGGATTGGCCTGCCATATTCTGTCACCTTCTAGAGGCGTGCTGGAATACAGTTCCCATCATTCCTAACCAGCCTGCCCCTTCTTGGGAACTGTAGCCCAGCATCCTTGGAGGGCACTGGAGAAGGCTAGCTTCGATCATTATTAAATTTACTATCCCACTTCATCATATCCTTTAATAATTGCTCGATATCTTCCCTTTGAATAAGAGAATATAAATTCACCTGGGTATTTTTCTTGCTCCTGGGGAATGTTCAGTGGGTCCAAAACTTGCTTTTCTAAAAACAAACCTTGGAACACTGTTGTCCAGTTCATCAGGGATCTTTAGACTGCTAAGAGTTGGAAAGAGGTAGGATGAGTCAGATAATAGTTGTTACCAAGACATCTGAAATCTTTTCCCCTTTCCTTTTCTTTTTTGCCACCTATGTGAATTGGGGTGCTGTCCAGTGTGGTTTTCTGTGATCTTCACGCTCTGAGGATTGGAGCCATCCAGCTGATGCCAGAGGAGGACCAGTGCTTCTCCCATCCCGTAGATGACATAGATGGCTGATCTTGACCATCTATGTCTTTTGCCCCATTTGTGAGAGGAAGGAGCTGAGACCTCATTGGGATTCCGCAATCCTTATCGGGATTCCGCTTATCCTCCTCCACCTCCAGGACATGACTCTGGGGCCTCTGCCAGCATGGAAGGAACCATTAGACTCTCAGCTCTGACCTTGGAATGCATTCTGAGGTTGCAGCTGAGACCCTGTCCTATCCTGTGGCCATCTACAAAAGCATCTTGTGGACACATCCTGTGCATACAAAAAGACCTCGCTATCTGGGAACTGTGGGCTGTGGACCTATTTCCCTGTCTAAGCCTGTCTAAGCCTATTTCCCTGTCTAAGCCTGTCTAAGCCTGCATAGGATTTCACCCTGAAACTATTTGCATTTGTAATTCGCTGTCTGTACCTTTGAGAACAGTTAACTTTAATAATTTAAAACAGTATGCATAAGCTTTCTTGTTTTTGAATGATAATAATAAGAGCAGCTTTAAGGAATGTTTCAGACAGAAGATGCCTGGGTTTTATTAACCTTGCATTTACTTCACTATATGCACACTACATTTAAAGGCACTGGCTGGATTCTTTTCTCTCCAGGTTAAGTCTGAGATTTAAAGATCAAGTTTGGCTGGTTTAGGCCTCCTCAGCCAGCTGCCCTCCAGCTGTTTTGGACTTCCATTCCTATCAGTCCCAGCCAAGATGCAGTGTGAGAGCTCTTCAGTCCAAAATATCTGGAGGACATCTGGCAGTGTGCTGGTTGAGATGAACATTGGGTGTACCCTAAGATTGTTACAGTCAGGTTTATATCGCCTTGGTCAGTTCTTGTAAGATTGGAGTCAGCACATGGTCCCAACTTTGGCAAACTGCTAGTAACATGCATTGAATCACAAGTTGGGATAAGATTGCCGGGAGATATATCAACAACCTCAGATATGCAGATGATACCACTCTCATGGCAGAAAGTGAAGAGGAACTAAAGAGCCTCTTGATGCGGGTGAAGGAGGAGAGCGCAAAAGTTGGCTTGAAACTCAACATTAAGAAAACTAAGATCATGGCATCCGGTCCTATCACTTCCTGGCAAAGAAATGGAGGTAGTGACCAATTTTATTTTCTTGGGCTCCAAGATCACTGCAGATGGGGACTGCAGCCAAGAAATTAAAAGACGCTTGCTCCTGGGGAGGAAAGCTATGGCAAATCTAGACAGCATACTAAAAAGCAGAGACATCGCCCTGCCAACAAAAGTGCATATAGTCAAGGCTATGGCTTTCCCAGTTGCAATGTATGGCTGTGAAAGTTGGACCATAAGGAAGGCTGAGCGCTGAAGAATTGAGGCCTTTGAATTGTGTTGCTGGAGGAGACTCCTGCGAGTCCCTTGGACCGCAAGGAGATCAAACCGGTCAGTCCTAGAGGAGATCAACCCTGACTACTCTTTAGAAGGCTAGATACTCACTGGACTCCCTGGAGAAGAGCCTAATGCTGGGAACAATTGACGACAAAAGAAGGGGACGGCAGAGGATGAGGTGGCTGGATGGAGTCACTGAGGCAGTTGGTGTGAGCTTAAGTGGACTCCGGGGGATGGTGGAGGACAGGAAGGCCTGGAGGAGTGTTGTCCATGGGGTCGCGATGAGTCGGACGCGACTCCGTGACTCACAACAAGTAACATGCATAACAAGGAGTCCAAGCTGTTAGCTCAATGTGGATGAAAGCTGGTCAGCTTCTCCCTTTGTTACATTTCTAATCTGTCCAGTCACCAATGTTCTCTGGGTGGATTACAGGCATCCCAAGACTAAACTGCCACTGACATTGTTAAAAAGGCAAAGCACATGGTTTCGGAATGTGGAAAAGACTGAAAGATGGCACAGTGCAGAAGAAGGAGCGGTTCAGGGATGGGCAAAGCAGCCACCAGGCTGGTTCTGTCCAATGCCTGTGAGAAAGGAGAGGGCTTTGCTTGCACGGAAAGGAAACAGCATTGCACCAGGAACCCTTCTCTGGGGGGTGGACTGCATGAGCAGGTGCAGCAAACCGGGGCAGCCCTCTCTGCCAGAGACAGTGGCTGGGTTCAGACAGCACCTGCCATGGTGTGTGCATTTTTCCCGCTGCGGGTCTGTCGTGTTGTCTGAATTCAAGATTAAAGGTTGCAAAAGCAGTGGATGAAAGAGCAAAAACAACAACAACAACAACAACAACAACAACAACCTTTAAAAGCACCGATGCAGCAGAAATCCCAACTCTGGACAAAACAGAAGATTAAAGCCACTGTATGTGAGCAGTCATTGTCCGATAAGCCATGTCCAAAATGTCTTGGCAAGCTTTAGAACTTCTATAAAATGTTCCTAAGTGAGGATATTAGCAAATCTGAGAGAGAGCAGAACCCAAAGAGGTTACCAATACTTTAAAAAAACAACACCTGTCTTCACTCGCTGCCCATCTTACCTCAGTCATCTTGATTTTCAAGCAGGTTTAGAGGAGAACTCCAATCTGAGTCTGTTCCAGCCCAAATTAAACCACCTCCATGATTTAGGGCATGTTTCTTTATTATTTTGAAGGCTTTGGTTGCAGGTGATAAAGGAATGAATTATCCAGGTAATATCATGGAGTTAACTCTATCACAGTTAAGCTAGTATGGAATGAAATGCTCTTGGCCTTAAAAAAAAGTTGCCTATATGGCCCAGCAGGAAATATACCTGTGTAATGTGAAAACACATCACAAAACAAGGATATTTAATAGATATTCTGTGCCATTTTGGCTCTGTGTAAATAGGAAGCGATCAGCTCGAATTACTTCTGCCAGAGACTCTTCTGTTTTATACATGGATTTGCTTGGCAATATGTATGATAGCCTAAATTATAGCGGCTGTAATAATTTCAGATGTATGCAATAATCTGTTTTCTAGTTTTCTAGAAACTCTGCTGTGCAACCCCCCCCCTTTTTTTTTACTGCTTAGGGACAGGCTGGGAAGGAATTCTGTGCCCAGATTTCAAACTCGGTAGGGTGTTCACACCGAACAGAGCTTTGCTTACCTGCATTATTGCTACAATTGCATTGACACTTGTCATTCTGCTTTCTCATAAGCAAATGCTTCTGTCTTCTATTTTCCTTCCTCCCGTTCATCCGTCTGTTCTCTCCCCCACCTCCCCATAGACTTCGACTTCAGTGTGCCAGGCTCCATGAAACTTCACAACCTCATCTCAAAACTGAAGAAGTGGATCAAGATCCTCGAGGCCAAAACCAAACAGCTCCCCAAGTTCTTCCTTATTGAGGAAAAGTGTCGGTTTTTGAGCAACTTCTCTGCCCAGACTGCAGAAGTGGAAATCCCCGGGGAGTTCCTCATGCCAAAGCCCACCCATTATTACATCAAGATTGCACGGTAAAGTAGGGTTTATTTATTAATTTATTATACGCTTTTATATGCCATCCTATTATATAAAAATCTCAGGACAGCTTGCAATGCTTTAAAAGACAACAATTTTCAATAAATGAATTAAAAACAATGTATAAATAAAACAATAAACGGTAAATCACAAAACAAAACAAGAACGACTAAATGTTAAAAACTATTAATTTTAAAATGCTGTTTAAATAAAAAGGTTTTGACCTGGCGCTGAAAAGAGTATAGACTCAGCGCCAGGCATCCCTCTCTGGGAAGTCCATTCCAGAGTCTGGGCACCACCACAGAGAAGGCCCTACTCTGAGTTGACCTTTTTTACCTCTTTTAGAGAGGGTTCCCAGAGCAGGCCTTCTCCCGCAGATCTTACAGGGCATGAGGGCATATAAGGAAGGAGACGTTCCTTCAAGGTTGGCAAAATAGAAGGCACAGAGGAGAGAGAAATAGCCTCGTTCTTACTGGCAGGAGTCCAAACTTTGTGTGTTGCATCTATCTATTTCTATATCTCCCTATAGCCAAAGCAATCTGGTTTACAGTAAAGCATAAAAACAGAACAATGATAGAAGTATTTTTGTATATTCCTGGAGGCTCTTCTGCCCTCCATACAGTCATTAGAGGCGGGGACTGAAAACATTCTGCCTGATGGAAACATTTCACTTTCACAGAATGTGAGCACTTCCAGTTTGGTTTCAAAAGAGATTAGACATACCCATGGGAGAAAATGGTTGATCTGGAGCTCTTCGCCGTGATGGTTATATAGAACCTCCACCTCCCTTGCCCCCTCCACAGCAGTTCTCACTCTGTTCCCCAGCCAAAGCTCCTGGAGCAGAGTCAAAGTCAGTAGAAGAAGCCAGCCCCCTAGTTGCAGGCTTGCAGGCTATAAAGTCACCGCACTCAAGGTGGGGAGGTGGAAGGGGAAGAGGGAAAAAATAAGTAGGCTTTTGGCAGGGCGCGTAGAAAGACCTCACTTCCCCCTTGCATCTCGCAGAGGCTTTCGATGACTGAATCACTAGTTCTCGTAGGGCAGTCCCGTAAGGAGGCTGTTGACTTCATGGCTTGCTTCTAGTCTCCCTGACGGTGTATCACCGGCCTCTGTGCGACGCAGAATATTGGTGGAGAGAGAGTTGTTTTTCTGAAAGCATTTCTACCTTGCTCTTCAGCTGCCAAGGCTTCCAGAGCAACTTGTGGATCAAAAGATAATAACAGTAACTAGACATTCCCTGCATTTGGGTTCACCCTCTACAAGATTCAGCCTGCAAGAGAAAAGGGACAGGGAGAGTCGCAGGGGAGCAAAAGCTACAGGGCCTATACTAAGTGGTTGGGATGTGCAGGTGACGCCACTGGGGGACGATCGGGGGCAACCTAAAGGTGGACAGCTGGTCTCGGCAGCGCTGATGGAGTAGCCCTGCGCCCTTTCTCTGCCTCTCCGTGCGTCTTGGGCATGTGACCGGCCACAGCGGATGCAGTGCCTTTCGTAGGGTTGTCCAGATTAGATTGAATCCACTTGCAGATGGACGGGCATGAATGGCGTTCCTTTATTCTCCCTTTTTGGATACGTTAAGTGTAGGTGCTTGGTGCCTCTTTCAGAACTTTCAGGAGAGGACCCGACAGTGAGGGATGGCCTTTAAGCGCTCGGGACTCTGCTTTAAAATCCAGAACCATCCCCCTGTGCGCTCGGCACTGCATTCCCCCCCTGTAGCTTCACCGCCAGTAGTTTAAAAACCAGGACCCAACATATACTGGACAACCTGTGTTTAAAAGAAAAAATGCGTGTCATTCAATTAGGGGAAGACAAAAGGCACAAATGTTTTTGTGGAAGCTTTTCATACCAAATACCGATCCTGGACTGAGCTGCATAATAGAAAACATAGCAGCCTAAAACGTTGCATCATTATAAAAATTCATAACAGGAATGTTCATCTCGCCGAAGCTCTGTCACTAATATGCTTCCTTTTGTTAGCATTAAGTATGGCATTTCATCCCCCCCCCCCCCACACCTTTTAAATCTAGCTTTCATCTCGGAGGAGAGAAATGAAGCTTTAGACTTTGAAAGCTCAGGTGCTTTTATCTCTCTCTTTCTCCTGATAGATTTATGCCCAGAGTGGAGATAGTACAAAAGCATAACACCGCGGCTCGAAGGCTGTACATCCGAGGCCATAATGGGAAGATTTACCCATATCTTGTAATGAACGACGCTTGCCTGACCGAGTCGCGCAGGGAGGAGCGTGTGCTGCAGCTCCTTCGCCTCCTGAACCCCTGTCTGGAGAAGAGGAAGGAAACCACAAAGAGGCACCTGTTTTTCACAGGTGGGTGCGGCAATGGCAAGCCACCCCTTGGATTTCAGATAAGAGGTCCTGGAACTGGGATGCAGAGCAACTTCTGCCTGAGGGCCAAGTCCCATTTTGGACAAGTTCTCTTGGACTGCTCCACTCGGTGGGGGGTGGGCGGTGCAGGGCCCGAAGTGCAGACCCTAGCAGTGCGTGAGAGCGTAACGCGCCTGCTGCCCGTCACGAGGCTCTAAGCAAAGCCCATCAGTCGTTCAGAATGGGGGGAAATGCACAACAGCCAGAAAAATCACCCTTGATTGTGGAGGGGCTCCTGTACCCACCTTCGAGCTGAGAGTTGGGTTGCTGGATTTTGAGAAGTGCAAAAAACAACCGCCTTTGAACCTGCATCTTCGTCCTGGAAGAGTGAGCTTGGTTGGGTCACTTAGGTGGACCAGACAACATTCTGCCCTCTGCTCTCGGGGGGCTCCTCTTCAGCGCATCCTCTCACCTAGTTAGTGGGAAAGCTCCATCAGCTCCGTGTCCGCTGTGAAGCGCGAGGGCTGCTTGTGCCGCTGGCAGTGTGCTCCAAAGCACAGCTGGCATCCTCTGTTGTTACCTGTGCTTGCAAGGAGTGGCTCCTGTGTTCCTCCCCGTTTCCACTTTTATTCCCACAACAGGTAGGGTAGCGGAGAGGCAGTGGGCAGGCCCAGAGATCTTCATGGGCGAGTGGGGACTAGAACCCGGGCCTCCCCAGATGGGTGGATGTGGATGCTTGCAGCCATCTCTTGCTCATTTGCAAGGGCAAGGGATGGTTACGTGCATTCCTGTTACGCCCGTCTCTTGCTTGTCGGTCGGTGCAGACAGCTGGTTGGCCACAGAATGCCGGACAGGTGGGCCCCTGGTCCGATTCTGCTTGGTTCTTCTCATGTTCTTATGCCAGTTTTCATAATAAGCATGGAGAAAATGGATGGGGGAACATCACGCGCACCACTAGAACCTAGTGGAGTCATCCCATGAAGCTGATGGGTGCAGATTCAGGACAGCTAAAAGAAAGCCCTTCTTCACATGGCACAGAGATAAACTGTGGAACTCATTTCTGCAGTATGGATGACTTTAAAAAGGGGTGGAACAAATGGATGGAGGAGAAGACTACTGATGGCTACTAGTCCTGATGGCCCTTAGGCTGCCTCCAGTCTCAGAGCCAGTGTGGCTGTGTACACCAGTTGCTGGGGAAGATGGGCAAGAAGGTGCAGTTGCACTCACGTCCTGCTTGCGGGTTTCCTGGAGGCAGGAGGCTGGACATTGTGTGAACAGAGTGCTGGACCAGCATGTCTGCTCTTATGCTCTTATTCTGGCTGTGATGGAGCCAGAGACTGTGTTGTTGTTTGGTGGCACCTTCGCTCTGGCCCAGCACTCGAAGCTTTCCTTTTTCTACATCTGTTGTGCTTCTTTTTCAGATTCCTTTAGAGACTGATTCTGGCTATTTTGTGGTTCAGGGGGGAAAAAGTTCATTTTGGTATGTTTAGGTTTAGTTTGGCTTCCTCTTTCAAATACACACTGCTTCCTTATTTGATTCACACTGCTGTGGCAGGATGAGCCGTCAAGAAGAAATCCCCTTCTTTTTTCCTCTCTTCTCCCTGGTTTTGCAGATCAACTCTAGAGTTTTCGGATGATTGCACGTCAGGTATAAAGCTGAGCTAAAAGCAGCCTGGCAGAGTATCAGTGAAGTGGAAATAACCTTGTTGTTGAAGGTCTCTTCCTTACCGTTCGCCCGGCCTTTTCTCTCTCATTACGGCGGTTCTCCTTAGCCCTCCCATAGTTCTGAGCCAGGGCTGGGTTTTCTCTTCTTGGAACGAAAGGCTGCATTTCGCCGCTTAATCGGATAAAGCCAGCATGCCAACAATAGGTAGATCCTTATCTGAGCAAAAATTATCCTCGTCTCCTACATAAAAGTGAGCGGGGGACCCACGGATTTGCGGGTGGTGTGGCGTCGCTGCGGGTGGGGGTTGAGAAGACCAGCGTTCCTTTTCCAGGGTAGTGCCGTTCCTTGCTCAGAAATGCTTTCGAGAGGATTGCTGCCGAGTGAGAAAAGCGAGCCGTGCTTTCTTGCCCGTTCTCTTTCATAGCAGAGCTCTCGAGTGTGCTGAGAGGGGATAGAAAGTGCCACTTGACACACTTCAGTTGATCATCACAGCACTAGGAGAGCTGATATCTGCATACTAATTTTCCAGTCCCTGTTTTGCTTTGTTGATGGGAATGGCTCTTGCGTCACCTTTCTCCCTCAGATGTCGGTCTAGCACCACCGGTAGGCAGGGAGTTTTAGAGAGCTGAAAGAAGCTCCGTGGCAGAAAACCTGCTCTGCATGCCGAGGGACCAGGTTCCATACCCGGTGTCTCCATGTCGAGTTTGGGAAGAGCCCTGTCTGAAACCCTAAAGAGGTGCAGCTGCCAGCCAGTGTCGCCAACACTGGGCTATATGGATGTCTGAAACCCTAAAGAGGTGCAGCTGGCAGCCAGTGTCGCAAACACTGGGCTATATGGATGTCTGAAACCCTAAAGAGGTGCAGCTGCCGCCGGTGTCGCCACCACTGGGCTATATGAACTTCAGACTGATGCAGTAGGAGGCAGATTCTCCTGTTCCTCTTTCGGGAGCATCAGTAACTCCCTGTGGTGCAGCACATGCTTCGTATGCGGAAACTCCCCGGATCTCCAGTTCAGGCTGCGAAAGATCCCTGCTAAAACCCTGGAGAGGCATTACTGTGTCAGCAACAGAAAGGTTATGCTCCGGCTTGGTATGAGACACGTCCCCATCCATTGCTTTTAAGCATTTTTATCCTGCCCTTCAGCCAACAAGCCTTGCGAGCCATAAAGACAAGATCATCATCCAGTTGCATTTGTCGTCCACCTGTAGGAACCCCAAGCAGCTTAGGTCGTTCTTCCCACAACGACAACCCTGTGAGGTTGAGAAGGCGTGACTGGCCAGAGTCACCCAGTGGCTGAGTGGAAACTAGAACCCCGAACTCCTGAGTCCCAGTCTGGCACTCTGTCCACGACACCGCACTGGCGCGGTGCTTTTTAAAGCCGGGCTATTCAACGACGTGGCTGTTTTATTTATTTTTCGATTTATATCCTGCCTTTTTCCTACAAAGGGCTCAAGGCGGCTTACATCTCCTCCTCCATCTTATCCTCACAACAACAACCCTGTGAGGTAGGATGGGCTGAGAGTCTGTGACTGACCCAGAGTCACCCAGTTGGTTCCATGGCTGAGCGGGGACTAGAACCCAGGTCGTCTGAGTCCCAGTCCCAGGCTCTTAACCACTACACCACACTGTCACAACCATCCCCTGTTTCTTCCTCTCCCCCCCGCAGGGCTGGGGGTTTAAGTGGCCCAGCTTGGAGACGCAGCAGCAGCAGCAACACTGGCTGTTTGCCGCCTGCTTCCTCCGCTGCTCACCAGCCAGTAGGTTTTAATAGCTTCGGATGTTTCCACAAGCATAACAAGACAGGTCCCTGCCCTTAAGGTGCTTCCGAGTTGGACCTTGACAGTGCCGAAGGCCGCAGAGGGAGCCCCCAGCGTATTGAGAGACGACTGCACTAACATGCAATTAAGCTGGGGCAAGACAATCAGCCTTGAATAAGCCCTTTCTGCTCCCTTACAAGAATCTCTGAGAGCTGGTTGTCAGTTGACTGAATCTGCACACATTTGCATACAAAGATGCACAGTCAGTGAGCCTTAAGAAAATACTTCGGGTTGGATCCAGAGAGGTCCCTTTCTCCCCATAAATGCCCCTCCGGCGGAGGAAGGGGATTTCTGGATTCAACTGCTTGCTTTTGGGTCATATGTGCAGGAAAGTGCCTTTGTGTCCCGCTTTTGCTTCCTTGGAGGGGCACGGTGCCTTAATAAAAGCAGAACTTGGAAGGTACGAACGAGGTGTGATTGCTTCAATTGTGCTGCAAAAGGAGAAAAAAAAATGTGGGAACTTGCGATCCTTCAGAGCATTTATTTTACAGTAACAGCTTGCTTTCTCCTCCTCCTCTCTCCTTTCCAGTCCCCCGAGTTGTCGCCGTCTCTCCACAGATGCGCCTCGTGGAAGACAATCCGTCTTCTCTCTCCCTGGTGGAGATCTACAAGCAGCGCTGTGCCAAGAAGGGGATTGAACACGACAGCCCGATTTCTCGCTACTACGACCGGCTGGCGACCGTCCAGGCTCGAGGGACCCAGGCCAGCCATCAGGTAGTGTAGCTGTGACGAACCCGGGGGATGCCGCCTTCTCCTGGCTCTTGTATTGGATGCACCCGTCCCACACCTGTTGTTTTCCTCTCCCCGTTGATTGTATTCGCTCACGAACTTCTCGGAGCAAAGAGCCAAAGGGCCTGGGCAGGCGTCAGAATGCCGTCAGTTTTGTGGGCAAACTTCCAAAAGCAGAAACCCTCCAAAGAGCCGTCTGTCCTCTCCACCGGGCTTGCGCAGTAGAATCGAATGATGATTAGAAGGCGAAGTGCAGACCTTGGCAGCTTTCCTGGGGGCAGCTTGAGGAGGTTTGCTTCCCCTTGCCAGCAAAAGCCGTGGGTCTGATCCACACATGAGAAGGAGCTCCCTTCCATCAGCAAGTGGCCTCAGCGGTCTCTCACCTGGATGGACCCACCTGTCATGGAGAGGAAGCTCTGCTGAGTGGCAGAGCACACGCTCTGCATGCACAAGCCCCCAGGCCCAATTTCTGGGACCTTCAGTTCGAAGGGGAGCTCTGCTGGGCACCCCAGGGAGCTTCTGCCAGCCAGAGTAGAGAATGCTGGCCTACTTCCTGGAGAGCCAGTTCACCTTAGTGGTGAGAGTGTTGGCCTGGGATGTGGGAAATCCAAGTCCTGGTCTGTATGCAGCCATGAAACTCCTCAGGTGACATAGGGCCAGATGCCGTTTCTCTGGCTTTTGCAAGGACAAGAGGGAGAGGAGGTTTATGTAAGCCGCCTTGAGGTCTTGTGGGGGGAGTTGCAGGCTATAAATAGCATAATAGCTAAAAACTGAATGGAGAAATTGTTTGGCCTTTATCGAAGGGAGCTTCCCCATATGAGGACTGCAGTAGGTTCCATCTTGTAGCACAGAGTTGACTCTGGGAATGCTCACAAACACCCATGAATGTTGGGCAACCGCAGTCCTTGTCTTCTGCTTCCGTGCAATCAATTCAGTCTTGGTTTCCAGGGTCAGTGTGGTTGGGCACCCATTCATTCATTCATGCCATTTTATTTTATTTTATTTAATTAATTAATTAATTAATTATTTCAATTTATGTCCTGCCTTTTCCTACAAAGGGCTCAAGGCAGCTTACATCATTCTCCTCCTCCAACTTATCCCCACAACAACAACCCTGTGAGGTGGGTTGGGCTGAGAGTCTGTGGCTGGCCCAAAGTCACCCAGTTGGCTCCATGGCTGAGCGGGGACTTGAACCCGGATCGCCTGAGTCCCAGTCCCACGCTCTTAACCACTGCACCACCCTGGCTCTCATCTCTCTCTCTCTCTCTCTCTCTCTAAATAATTTCTATGCTGCCCCATTCGCAAAAAGCCTCGGGGCGGCTTACAACATTAATAAATAAACATAAATAAACAGTTATATAATTAGACTTAAAAAAACTGGAAACATCTCGGCACGTACATGAAAACCCAATAAATGCAGGGTCCTGGCTTTGTTCCTCCTCTTCCTCCTGCTCAGCATCGTAACACTGCTTGTCCCTTCTCGGGTGGTGGTGGAGGTGAGGAGGACTCATGGGTGCCCCTGCTGATCTGCTGCACCAAGAGCGCGATAGCATGGACGAGGAGCAAGGAGCGGGAGCAGCGGCCGGTGACGGGGGTGGTGGGAAGGGAGAGCTGGGGAAAGGGGAGCCATGTGTCTCACCGGAGGGTCCCCAGAAACCTGGCTCCAGCACTGCGTAGAATGGTTTCTGAGGAGTCATTTCCTGTTGACATCAAAGGGCTTTTCTGAAACCTTCCACGTGATTTCTGAAGGCCCACGGGGGCAGCGTTTTAGATCTCGCTGCAGTGGTTTCATGAAGGCATAGTGGTCCACTGCCAGTTTTAGTTGCCGCTTTCTAATAAGAAATCCTTGGTTTAAAAGCCTCCAGGGGCATCGCTGGGCATAGTACTGTCCGGTTTCCCAACAGTCATTGAAATCCTAAGTGCTAAAAGTTGGATCCTGGAAGCTCCTCCTGTAATAAGCCATCTTTCATCCCTTGCACAGTGTAAGATAAAATTAAGTGACATGAAGCATCTGTCTCTGTTCTATTCTTCGTCTTTTTTGAGGCGCTTGCCTTCAGGTTGTGCAAGTGGAGGCTCTCTGAGTAATTTAATTGAAGCGAGTGTGATTATCATTCTTTTCTGGTGCACTGGAGCAGGTCCCCCACTTTATTTCTCTTTGTAATTAATTAGGCCAGGCCATGCTGTAGTAATTAAATATGGAGGCCGTTCACAGATGTTTACCTGTGAGGCACAACTTGGCTGCGGAGAGTGAGGCGACATTAATATCCAGGTGCTTGAAGCTGCAGCCAAAACACACACAGTGCTGTACTGTTGAGTGAAAGAGAAGCCTGTCTCCCGAGGGGCTGAATGGCCACTGGGTACACAGAACCCAAAACCAGGCCAGAAGGAACGATGCTGGTTCAGATCAAGGCCTTGGAGGGTTTCGTTGCCCAGTCGAATGCCCTCATTCTTGACTGACCGCTGCGGGACAGAACCTTTCCGTTGGAGGGCTGAATTCCAGCACTGGGCACGGTCAGAGCAAAACGAGCCAGACCAAAAGACAAGATTGCCAGCGTCCTTGAGCTTCACGCTCTTCCTGCCCATAATGATGTCTTATGAGAGAGGTTTCCTGGAATATCTGAAAGCTCGCCTTCTTCCTTACCAACCTGCCCAATCACCAAGGTCGTCAAATGGAATATTATGGGTGGTCCCACATGGAGCCAACCAGAGTCCACCGGGAGGAGAAAAGCCTTCACTGTAGCAGCCCAGTTGCTGTGGACCTCTGTCCCTCTGGAGGTCAAGCCGGCTCAAACACTATTATTTTTGGTTCCTGCAGAAAACATCTTTATTTCACGAAGGCTTCCTTGTCTGGTTGATACCCTCTTTTTAAGACTTGGTTTTATTCTTTCCTCAGTTGTATCTTTTTACGGTTCGCTGCTCCAGAATCTGCTTAGAGATGGAACAGTAGATAAATGTTGTGAACAAAGAAATAGAAAATAAATTTCATCACTTTTACAGTAGGGAAAAACAGTACAAAAGCTGGAAACCCACCAATGATGGCAGTTGACTGGTGCAAATTTATCATCAGACGAAGGGTGTCTTTCCGGATGCAAAAGCTCACTTGAAATCATCCAGAGCCTTGTCCCGTCTCCCCTGTAGGTTCTCCGGGATATTCTGAAAGAGGTGCAGGGCAACGTGGTACCACGAAGCATGCTGAAGGAGTGGGCTTTGCATACATTCCCAAATGCCACCGATTACTGGACATTCCGGAAGATGTTCACCATTCAGTTGGCCCTGATCGGTTTCGCAGAATTCGTCTTCCACTTAAACAGACTGAACCCCGAGATGCTGCAGATTGCTCAGGTACGTGTTGAGGCAACTTGGCATGTGTTGAGTGGGCCTTCCATACATTTAACACCACAGATGGGAGTTGGTTATTTAGAATTTAAAGCATGAGTGTCCTGCCTTTTCACGCATATGAGTCTCCCAAGACTGCTCCCAACAGGTGCTAACAGTTATTAATAATTATAATTTTATTTCTACTGGTATATTTTTATCTCTCTTATCTGAATTGCTCAAGATGGCATGCATAATTCCCTGCTCCCCTGATTTTCTTCCCTTAGCAACTCTATAAGTCAAGATGAGAGATGCATGGCCTAAAACTCACCCAAGGAGCATCCGGGCTGAGTAGTGATATGAACCGGGAACTCCCTAGACTTAACCCACCATTCTAAGGACTGCCCCATGCTGCTTCCCAAAGGGAGAACTTGAACATCCACCTGAATTAGCTTGCCCCTCACTGAAGGTTCCTCCAAACATCTCTCTCACCTGATCTCCATCTCCATCTGGAAATGGAGGAGCCAGATGTTTGCAAGCCTTTCTCCCACGTCTAAATACTGTTCCGGTGCTGAAGTCTTAGAAGCTCCAAGAAGCCTCAGGCTAGGACACCCTTCCTGGGAAATGTTTAATACCAAGTGGGTGGCGTTAGAGAAGTACTTCTTCACATCTAATGTAACCTTGGCTAGCGTCTCTTCCTCCAGAAGTCAGTAACAGCTCCAACCCAATTCCAAGCATTCCCGTAGTCCCAGTCTGCTCCCGATACAAATGTGCTCCCAGAGCCAGTGTGGTGCAGTGGTCAGAGTGAAGGACTGGGATTTTTGGAGACCTGCATTCTAGGTCCCACTTGGCCATGAAGATCTTTGGGTGACTTCAGGCCGGTTGCTGATCCTCAGCATACCGTACAAGGTTGCCATGAGGATAAAGACACAGATATGAAAAAGAGACTCTGTGAGCCCCTTGGGGTTCCTTGCAGAAGAAGCAGAAGCGGGATATAAAGGCAGGAATGAATTTCTCCGCTCAGAGCAGTGTTTTTGAGTCTGCATATGCCTTTGCCAGCTTAGAGTCCCCAAGCAATGCCTTTGCCTCTGGGTACCCAGGCCTTGTCGGGTGATGCTGCTACCTGAAAGCTACCTCATGGGGTAAATTGCGTTTCTGAGACTGTCCGTTGCTCTGTCCCTCTTCACTAGCTTGGGCAGCAAGCCTCACCTGAAAGGGGAAGCTACCCATGTAAAAATGCTTAGACTCTCCCTAGGAGAAGGGCCTTTTGTCACTGCAAGTGATGTTTAATGCAAGGGCTTCCAGATGTCACTGGAATGTCATCGTCCCTCCATCTCCCCCCTCACGTTTGCATTTTCAACCCTCACCGTATGACCTTGGCTTAGGGTATTCACGTAAACGATGAATTTGCGATCCCCGTGAACTGCCAAACAGCAGCAGACGTTCTGCTGTGCCCCGATCCTCCCACAAGGCCGTGCAAACAAGCCCATTATTCAGGAGGTACACCTTTCAGGGGACGTTCCTGCCTGCCGTTTTTACACACCTGCTGCTAGGGAAGAAGTGTGCAGCTGAAACGTTTGTTAACCTCACTTCGTGCTGCTCTTTTCTGAGTAGCAGCCTTTGAGAAACATCCGTTTATTTCTGCCAACATTCCCTTCCTGCACACCAAGATAGTCTTAGGGCGGGGGAACCTTTTGGTCCAGACCAAGACCAGGGGGCTGGTTTATCTCAAGGGGGGGACCTTGCCTCAAAGCCCCCCCCCCTCCAAAGTCTGTCTTCATACCACAGACACAAGACCCAACAGAGTGAAATCAGAGGGGAATCCCTGCGCTTTCGGTGCTTTCTCCGGCCCGAATCGGAGTCCTCTCCCCAGCTGGGGGTTCTCGCTTCTCCCGCTCTGCCTTCACCCCCCTGGAGAGTTTCTTGCTCCCTTGAGCAGCACTGCTAGCTCTTCCAGGCTGCCTCTTTGGCCTGGTACTTTCTCCTGGAACACCAGCATGGGCCCTCCTGCTTCGCGTTAACATTCCCGACCTCCTCCTTTGGGCAGGCATTTCCTACCAGCATTATATGGACATCTCGTGTCTCCCAGGCTTGTGCTTGAGGGCTCACCTGGTTGCTTCAGAGGGGCAGGTCCCCAGAATGCAGACTAAAAACTGCACTCCCTCATCTTACGCAGGAGCGAAATGCTATTGCACTGGGGAAATTCTGTGCACTGTTTGTCGTCCTCTCCTTTTGGCGTGTGTTCACGTGTCTTTTCCGTCCAAACCAACAGGATACTGGCAAGCTGAACGTGGCCTACTTCCGATTCGACATCAACGATGCCACCGGGGACCTGGACGCCAACCGCCCCGTTCCATTCCGACTCACGCCGAACATTTCGGAGTTCCTCACCACCATCGGCGTTTCCGGGCCGCTCACCGCATCCATGATCGCCGTCGCTCGCTGCTTCGCACAGCCGAACTTCAAGGTATGCGGCTTGGGCCTCTTTCCTCCCGAAATGTCGCAGGGCTGATCTGAATTTTGGGGGTTGTAGGGCCTTGTCAACGTGCTTGTGGAAACTGCTCCCCGCCCTGTGATAGGAATTGCCCTGTCTTTGGAAGCTTTGAAGGAACGTCTGCTTGTTTTCGTTCGCATCGCGTGTTCATAATTGCCGCTGCCGTTATGAATCGCAGTGTGTTAATCCTGTTAACTGCGGATTGGTTTCGAGGGGGTGCAGCGTTTTTGGGGGATGCCGATTGTGTTTTCTGCAAGGTTGCCCTCTGCCTTGAAGAGGCAATTGCGCCCTACAAGGCAGTTCAGAAATCAGAAAATGCAGCCGCTTTTAAAAATACAGGGAGCCCTGGAATTGATCGGCAGCTTTCCGTGACGGCTCATCCAGAAGACGACAGAAAGAGTAGCGCGGCCTGCTCAGTAAGGATTCAGTGCGCTTTCCTTCTCCTGGGCTTCAGCACCCCCAGAGCCTTCCTCTTTGCTGCCACCCCCCTTAACTCTCTGTTCCCACCATCCCACTATCTATTTTGATTGCTCGTTGATTTGCAGTTATTTACACGCTGCCTTTCAGGGCACAAATCCCTGTGCCAAGGAAGCGAATGGGCAGCGTGGGGCAGGGGGCGGAAGATACCCCCACCCCCGTGTTGGGCAGGGAGAATCCAGCTGGGGCAGGGAGCAGGTGTCTGGGCTTGGCCCCCCTCTCCCTTCCCGGACCCTCCTCTCCTCTGAGGCAGTGGTGGGAGCCCAGCAGGATCAAGCCCCGGAAGCCTTCTTTGCCCGCCTCTTTCCATCCTCCCCTTCCAGTGACTCTTGCTCCTTCACCTGCCTGAAGGGCCTCCAGCGTCCTCTGGCTGGTTCTGCCTGGTTTTCCTTGCAGCCTGGGAAATTGACTTGCACTGCCCTAACTTCTGAGTGGGAGGGTGTGACGTGCCGTCCCGCAACAGCAGGGGGTTGGACTGGATGGCCTTCATGGCCCCTTCCAACTGTACTGTTCTATGATCTCGCCGCTCGGGCGCTCATTCCGTACAGACATCGTATGGACTTCTCCTGTCGCCCAGGCTTGCGTTTAAATGCTCGCCTGGCTGGCGCAGGGGCCCTGGACGCCCGTGTAGGCGAGGAACTGGTGCGCCAGAGCAAGTGAGCATCAGGCCAGCCAAGGGAGGACGGCATCTCTCTCGCTTTCCTCCACGCCAGGCATGGTGCATGTTTCTGCATGGAGACCAGACTTCTCCTTCCTTCCTCTGCCAGGCCAGAAAGAAATTCTTGCAGGCTGCTGCTTTCTGTTAGCTTCTGTGCCCTCCTGTCCCCAAAAGCTGGCAGTGTGTTATGTTGGAAGGGGGTGTGTTGTGTTGCGGCTGTGAAGGGGGCTGCCTTTGCAACAGAGACAAGGACTTTCAGGCCAAGGTGGGCGAAACCAGCCTACCAAGCTCTCCCAGAAGGCCTCTCCAAAGAATTAGTATAGGCAGAAAGAGCTTTAAGCTACCATATGCCTTAAGCAACAGGTCGCCTGACCTCTTTGCCCCCTGTCCCTGTCTCCCACTGGCATGCAGCTGCCGAGAACTTACCCAAAATAGAATCAGGTCTCCAGACTACAAGGGGCTCCGCACCCCTGCTCTGCAGAGTAACCGCCCAGTTTTGGTCTAAGCAGATAAGACATGGCGTCAGTTCTGTGGTGTGTCTCGAACTCGGCGCTAGTAACCTGCCAGAGAAGGTAGCGCCCCATCAGTGCATGCCGTGTCCCTCCCATAATTTCCGAGTCAGCACGATGGGTGATGTATTGAGCTCAAAGACTTCTGCAAGAGGAGCTTCTCCGATCCTGCCCTCCTCAAAGAGAATTTTCCAGACAATTAGAGCATGATTTAACTTCCCCTTGTCTAAACAGCAGTTCTATAAAAACTCTGGTGGACACCTTTTTCGGCTCGCTTCTCAGGCAGAATTGCCAGAAAGTGGGGGATAATTCTGCTCTCAGCTTGGCCTGTTGAGTTGGAATTAACTTGCCTCAGCAGTTGCTGCAGCATTCCAGTGATGTCGGTGTGTTTGCACGTCTCGGGATGATGATGTGAATGACAAATGCAGCATCGTTTAGTTCTTTCCGAATAATGCCGCAAATAGGAATCTGTCTTGGCAGCTTGTTAGCAGGGTAAGGAAGCTCAAGATATATGGTGGCTTTGATGGACTCCAGCTCTTAGCAGGGTGCAGTTTGCGGAAGGAGTCGGCCTTCCTCCTTGTTTAAATTCCAGAGACGAAGACGCTCGCAGCTGGGTGGCGATCCGCCGTCGCCACGTTCCGCCGAGCGTCCCACACATTACATGAAAGGCGCACGTGGACCACGCTCTGTGGGCTTCTTAATTAGGCATCTCAAGGCTCAACTTGCAGTCGTTATAAATCCCCTCTTAACTTTTAAATGCAAGCCATTAAAAAAAGCCATTGGAAAAGTGGGGAGGATTAAACTGCGTAAGCCTTGCCTTTTCTCCCCTCAACCAAATGCACAGCATCCTTGGTGGTGATAGTGGTGATGTTGCATCTCCCCCCGGGTTCCTCTCGGTCAGGGTGGGAAATGGCTGCCCCCCCCTTCAGCTGACAGCAGATTCGTCCGTCCTCACCACCATCTGTGCTGGCTGTGGGCATGGTTTTGGGGAGGGGGCCGCAGTGCAGCAGTCTCTGGAGGTCCACCTGTCCCCCCACCCAGGTGCTTTGGACCGTAGCTCCACCACGGCCAACAGCCAGGGCTAGTGGGCATTCTAGTCCACAATATCTGGGGAAGGCTGTGATAAGTGGAAGGGGACACGGTGGGGGGAAGAAATGGCCCAGCTCAAGCAGATGGGCTGCAGCCTGGTCCTCGGGTGCAGCTCAGATCCTGAGAAGGTCACATCCACAGCACGCTTCCTGTAGGTGGGGATGCCCTTGTTAGATGCTTTCTTTTTTTCTCCCAAGGCAGAGACAAGGCATTAAACTCTGCCTGGACTAAACCAGCCTAAACCCCTTTCAGAAGTAAAACAAAACACAGAGCATTTAATCACCGCAGCTCACTCCAGGCTGCCGTTCTCTAAACTTGCCGTTCTAATGGGGCAGCGGGTTGGGGGCGTCGTTTGAGTTTTTATTTAGATGTACATGGAAGGGCCTAAGCGTCTCAACACGCTTCCATTCCCACGTGGTTAACTCCGTGATCCCCTGGGTGTCCCCTGCTCCCGCTTCAGCGCAGTTATCGCTTCCCCCTCCGTGCAGGTGGATGGCATCCTGAAGACGGTGCTGCGAGACGAAATCATCGCTTGGCACAAGAAGACACAGGAGGACACGTCCTCCCCGCTCTCAGCCGCCGGGCAGCCGGAGAACATGGACAGCCAGCAGCTGGTTCTGCTGGTTCAGAAAGCGGTGACTGCCATCATGACGCGGCTGCACAACCTGGCCCAGTTCGAGGGAGGAGAGAGCAAAGTCAACACACTGGTCGCTGCAGCCAACAGCCTGGACAACCTCTGCCGCATGGACCCCGCTTGGCATCCGTGGCTCTGAGTTGACTGTGTGTGTGTGTGGCGGGGGGGTGGGGGGGTTAAAGAGTCCTTCTCCAGCCATCACCACCTCGTCTCCCATCCTGGTCCCACTTTATTCAACCTTTTCAGCGTTCTCATGTTTCCACAAGAAATGGCAGTTTTTACACCCTCAAAATTGCTTAGATCACTCCCGAGGCCGCTTTGAACAGAGGCGGCACCTGTGTTACGTCGAATGCAAGAAAATGGCGACTGCGTGCGAGATTCATTAAAGCAAATGGGTCATCAGACTACAGGATCCAGTGCAAATTTCCCCTCACATACTGGTAAACTTTTCCTTTTCTTTTCCAGACTTTAAGAAATGGGATATTCCCAAACTGCTTTTTGTTTGAAGGGTTTTTTTTCCTATTTAAAAAACGCTTTCTTCATGGTTTACCTTCAGAGTGGTGGTACAAAGACTACTTAAATGGCAGTTTAATCCGTTCAGAAATAAATGGGAGTTAAGTGTTGTTGTACAGCAATTTTGCAACAAAATGTACAGAAAATCATCCTCTTTTGGGAGTGGGGGATCTCTAGTTGGAGAAAACAAGAAAAAATGTGTTGTTTTTTTTCTGCAGAGCACTGCAATGTGAAAAATGGACCCAATTCTGAAAGCCAGTTTGGTGGCACATTATAAAGAAACTTTATAAAAGCGAATTTGTCATCCATTACGATACACTTTTGGATGGACCCAGTGCTGTGCAGCTCTAAAGAGTATATGATAAACTGTTTTGTTTTTTAGTTTGGAGACATTTAAATGTATATAATCAAGTAGCTGTTTTTAGTTTTTACCTGTGTAATTTAAAAACAAAAACAAAAAGCAATTGCTTTTGTTTGGGTCTGTGACAGTCATTTTTATAAACCTTGCGGTGTTGCGAATGTTACACTATGAATTTGTACAGGGTGACCCTTTTCCAAAATAAATATTTTCTAAAATGCTTTAATGGCGCTCATTTTCCTGAAGTGGACTCTTAGCAGTGGTAAATTGAAATGAGCAATGGCTAAAACAGGGTGAAATATAACCCTTCCCAAATAGAGTGAGCTGCAGCGTTGTTCCCAGTCAGACCGTACTGCATGCACATAATAATTCAGTTCCCCCGTTCTCCTAGGACAGCAGATATTAAATCAGCCCGAGAACAAGAACCATACATCCTGAGAGTTCACACAGTAATTAGTTAGCCATTTGTGCTGCTTTAATCAGGGCCAGAACATCATAGGCCTGTTGGGCAATTAACATTTGAATAATTAGTTAGAGAGGTTGAAGGTATGTGGTGGCAAGTCTTGCTCTAGTCCATCATTTTCTTGCACCGGGTTACTTAAATTCTTGTTCTGTGATTATGGAATGGAAAAGATGTTCTTCAGTGTAATGTCATTTTCTAAAAATCCGCTGTACTCTTTACCTCCTGGTTTTCTGGGCATTTGGTACAGACTTATCCAATCAAGCTTGCTCTGGGGAATAGCACCACATGTCTCAGCCAAGAGACTCCTGATTCAATGAGTAGGTCTGAGAGATTGTACACTTAGCCTCCACAACTATTTTTTCTTGCTAGGCCTTGTTCTTCCAGAGAGAGTTGTCCTTGGATTAGGCTATACCACTTCAGGTGGCCGAGTGAAGGCTCAGTTGACTTAGATGTTCCTACATGTACGTCTTCAAATAATTCTTGCACATAGAAATCTAGTAATATTCAGGGTACCATCTTGTCCACAGTGGTGTTTAACATCTGTATGATGCCACAGTCATGGCATCCAGTCCTATCACTTCCTGGCAAATAGATGGGGGAGAATTGGAGGTAGTGACAGATTTTGTTTTCCTGGGCTTCAAGATCACCGCAGACGGGGACTGCAGCCAAGAAATTAAGACACTGGCTCCTTGGGAGGAAAGCTGTGGCAAATCTAAACAGCATGCTAAAAAGCAGAGACATCACCTTGCCGACAAAAGTGTGTATAGTCAGGGATATGGTTTTCCCAGTTGCAATGTATGCCTGTGAAAGCTGGACCAAAAGGAAGGCTGAGCGCAAAAGGATTGAGGCCTTTGAATTGTGGTGCTGGAGGAGACTCCTGCGAGTCCCTTGGACTGCAAGGCGATCAAACCGGTCATTCCTAGAGGAGATCAACCCTGACTGCTCTTTAGGACAGATACTAAAGAAGAAACTCAAAAACTTGGGCTACCTAATGAGAAGGAGGGACTCATTGGAAAAGACCCTGACGCTGGGAATGATTGATGGCAAAAGGAGGAGACGGCAGCGGATGAGGTGGCTGGATGGAGTTTGGGTGGACTCCAAGGGAGGACAGGAAGGCCTGCAGGACTGTTGTCCGTGGGGTATTGATGGGTTGGGCACAACTTTGCGACGAAACAACAACAGCATGGTGCCACAGGCAGCGATCACTCGGGGATTTGGAACAACGTGGCATCAGGAAGCTGAAAACACAGAGTTCCGCCTCCCTCAGTCCGTGCAGCCCTTGCAAGTCCTGGATTGTGGGTTGGACGAGGGGCCAATTAATTGATGCTGAATCCGGCGAGATGGAGCCCTGTGGACGAGTGGTTCCCACGTCATGGAGATCAACTCTCATCCTGTTTTGCACTCCCTTTGTAAGTGGGGGCACCCAGATCCGCCACTTTCAAGTGGCCACAGCTGCTCGGGGCACCTTTCAGCATCCTTGACAGGTTCGTCAGCTGTGGCCCTTCTTGGGCTGGGATATAGCCTGGTACGAGGTGCTGCAAGGCACTCTATGTGGGGCTGCCCCAAGAGTGCTCCGAAGGGTCCAACCACGAGTGCAGTGGTTGTCTCTCATCAGAAGCTGCCCCGTTTCCGTGTCCAACTCCTCATCGAAGGAATTGCTCTGTGGCTGTTCAGTGCTAGGCCAGGTTTCAGGATTTGGTACTGGTGTAGCAAGGCCTGAACAACTCAGGACCAGGAAACTGGAGACAAGGCCCTCAGCTGTTGGGTGGGATGGAGGGATGGATGGATTCTCCCTTACCATCTGTCCAGTCACTGAGGACATCGGTTCAGTGTGTGTCCTCAGTGGTTCCTCAAAGACCGACAGCACCACTGGAGTCCATCCTTCCATTCAGTAGCAGCTCGTATTTAGAACGTCCTTTCTATGGAGTCCAGCGAGGAACCATCGCTGTGTTGTTTTCAGTGCCTGCTGGAATTACCTTTGTTTCAGGAAGCCTTCCTTGACAGATCAAACATGGTTGTATGATACCCCATGTTTGCTGTCCTGTTTTCTCTTTTATAGTTCGCCTCCCCATAATTATTTGGAAGCAGAGCGGTATATAAATGTGGCAAATAAATGCATGGATTAAATAAATAATAGCCATCAAAACAGCGAGAGGGATTCAAGTTGTGTGCTTAACCATGGGTTAGTGTGATGCACACAGATGGCCATTATTAGAGCTGGAAGTTTCTCCTACGTCCATATCTGTCCACCTTGACCCACAAATAGAAGTGCTCTGGAGAAAAGTGGGGAAGAGATTGGCTCTAGTCCTCCTTTTCCCAGGGAATGTGGCCAGCAAATGCATCAGGCTGAAAGAGAGCTGATAAAGACAATATGCTGTCAGGTTTGGTAAAAATGCTTGTGTGTCTTGTGTTTATTTTGTTAATTGTATTTGTTCTCATTGAAAAGGCCGCTATTCAGGCTGCATTGCTTTGCTCCCAAGTGAAATCAAGTAACATTATAACGGAGTGCTTCTAGTCTAGTCATCTTCCAAGACCGGCTCTCTCCCTCTTCACTCCCTGAAGTAATTGGGCTCTTCAAGAATTGTCAGATACAAAAAGAGATGGAGAAGGAAAGAGGGAGGGAGCGAAAGATTGGGAGGTCCTGGGTGAAGATGCCTCTGTCTAGCAGTGAAAGATTTGTGTTTTCAGATTGCAGGTATGGGAAAGGAGTATATTTTTTAAACCTGTCCTTTAAATGGATGCATCATGTAAACATGTGCAGCAGCCCAGTTCCCTGGCCATGCTTCTGAAACCAGGGCTCAGTGCTGGCTAGGTTTTGGAGAGCCCCTGAGCAAGACACACCCTCTGGGCTCCCTCCCTTCTCACCACAACGGTCACCAGCTGCTTTTGTCCCACTCCTCACCATCTTGCTTGCTTGGCAGGCAGCATCGGGGTTCAGGGCAGGGACGTCGGTGGCAAGAGACCGGACTTGCGGCCAGACAGTCCAAAGTCTAGCAGCAAAGTCTGTGTCGTCGTCACAGAAGAGGCCAAGGAGAGGAACCAGGTGTATGTATGAGGGCAGGACAAGACTGGTGCCATGAATAAGCCGAAGGTCAACCAGGAAGACAAAGAGGCAGGCAGGAAAACTGGGCCGGATGCCTGGCAGGGCAGGTGCAGGAGCTGAAGCAGGCAAGCCATTGCTAAGGCAGGATGCATGGTAAGAAGCAGGCACCTGCCAGCAACCAGCTGCAGCCGGGGCCCAGCAAAGTGCAGGAGCTGAACCACACCTGCAGGAAGAGTTGCCTTGCCGAGGTAAGACAGCGAGGCAGGAGACGGGCCGGGCCAGGCCAGGTGGAGGCACTGCAGCAAGCAGGAAGCCCCGTGCTGCTGAGGCGGGTTCTGCAAGGCGGGATTTGCTCTCCTACAGCTCTTCCCATCAGGAAGCTGAGAGCTCCGGCAGGGCCTGGGACTGACCCTACGAAGACTGAGGTTGGGGAACTGGCTCTGGCTGCCAGGTAAACCCCCAGAGCAGCCCAGACCCCAACAGGCAGGGGGGGCATCTCCTCCTCCTCCTCTGGGCTGGAACAAAAGGCAGGTGAACAAGTAGGTTGCAGTGGAATTTAAACTAATGCACTCAGGGAAGTCCATGAATACTCTTTTTTTAAAAGCCCTGCAGTTGAGTAGATAAGATGTAGAAGAGGATAAGGAACACAGAGGGAAGAGGAAAATAAACACACCCAGCAGAATGGAATCCAGAGGCGCTTGTTCTAGTTCTCCTTTCGATGCAGCCATGAGGAAAGGTGACACCTAGATCACGTTTTCTGAACACAGCTCCTTATTTCTTGATAAGAGCAAGAGCACTTACCTGGCCTGCCACCACGAGCCACCTGTGTGATAGTGGCTGCAAAAGAAGCCAATGTGGTCTGAGGTTGCATTAAGAGAACGGTTGTTTCCAAGACAACAGAATAATTGTTGCACGAGATTCTGCATTAGCCAGACATCGTCTGTGAAGAATTTCGTCTTGTTCAGGGCTTCATTTTCTGAAGGATGCAAGCAAATCAGAATGGTTCAGAGGAGGCGAATGCAATTGATCAGCTGCATGGAAAACAAGCGAAGAACTTGGCATGCTTGGCTTGGACGGACGAACACTTTTATCTGTAAGACAGTAGGTATCCCAGGCAGGGAGGGATGGGGGTGGCAACAGCCACCTCCCCCCTGTGTCTCCTGCCCCCAAAATCAGCTGAGATGCTTCAGATGGGGAGGGAAAGAGGGTCACCCTAAGCCAGGATATCCCCTCTATCTCCCTCTGCCCCAGCTCCTTGTGTGTGTGTGGAGGGGGAGGGAAGGCGCTCAGCTCCAGGACTGGCGCTGAACGTTTGCCTAAGTAGGATCATGCTGCCAAAATCAGAAACGTTTCTGCACGGAAGCAGCAAAATTCTGCTCTCTGCTGCTCATGCAGCCAGGACACACTCAGCAGCCTGAAGTTACCAGAGGGTGCCTTTCTGCTGAACACTGGGGGAACTTTTTCCTCATTTGTGCAGTGGGAGAACAGGACCCTTCCCCGGGCGTCTGCTTGTCACTCCCTTTCTGGGCATCTTCCAGCACTGCCCAGACAGAAAGAAGGTACCAGTGCTTTTGCCCTGAATTTCCGGCACGGAGCCAAAGGCTGGACTAGCTGTTCTCAAGGGTCCCCTCCACGTCCTCCGTGCAGTTTATTCTGGCTTTCAATAAGAACCCCTGACCCAATCTGCACTTCGTTCTTGTTTGGATTCCCACCAG